CGCCACCCGCGCGCCCCGCCCAGCCCGCGCCGCCCCGCCGCCCCGGCCCACGCCGCCCCCTCTTCGTCGCCGTCGCCGTCGTCGTCGCCGTACGTGAGCACCTCGCCGTCGCCTTCGATTTTTTTTGTTAGATTTAATTAGATTTTTTTGTTAGGTTAGATGTGTAGTAATTTAGATATATGTAGTTTATAAATTTTGTTGTTAGATTAGATTTTTTTTGTTAGATTAGATGTGTAGCAATTAATTTGTTTATATTATGTTAGATTTTTTTGTTAGATTAATCAGATTTTTTGTTAGATTAGATGTATGTAGTAATTTAGATATGTAGTTCATAGATTAAATTAGATGTGTAGTGATTAATTTTGTTCATAGAATTTTAATGATTTTTTTTATATAGTTTAGATGTGTAGTAATAAGAAGTAGTTTATATATAGTTGTTAGATTAGATGTGTAGCAATTAATGATTTTTTTGTTAGATTAGATGTGTAGTAATAAGAAGTAGTTTATATATAGTTGAACTAGCTAGTTGATTTAATAAACTAATTTATTTTACTATATATAGAAGTAGTTTGTTTTTAGTAAGTACTACTTATTTATTTATAGTAAGTGCTTAGTAGTTGAACTAGATAGTTGATTTAATTAATAAAACTACGTTTATTTAACTATATATAGAAGTAGTTGCCGCATCGACGTCGGCGATGCCTATCCTGCATCCTCGTCGTCGTCGACTCGGTGGTGGAGGCCTACTTGATCAGGGCCATGTTCGGGACTGGGCTCCGCCGGGCTGGTATTGGGAGGTGCTACCTTCCGGGGGACGTAGGTTGGTGAGGAGGCAGCCTGTTGTTGACCCGATCCTTGTTTGGTGGCGGTCGCGTGGGCCAGTGACGGTGGTGAGGCATCCGGACACCGCGGAGGTGGTACATCACCGTGTCAGCGAGGAGGACGAGCACGTCCGTCGCTACATGGTTGCATTGGAGGGCAGATTCGACAATACCTGGCAGGTTCTTCAGGGATCTCACTGGAGCTATGATCCTGTGATGGTTCCTTATCTTTGGATGTCCACCGCTCGCGTCAATACCCGTCGGGCGCTACAGTTCTAGTTGTATTAGTGATAATATTCGACGATGTACGGACACCAAGAGATGATGTACTTTTGCTTATAATTATTGAATGCATGCTAATTTGAATACTATACTTTATTTTATGATTTGGTTTTGCTTATTTTATGATTTGGTTTTGCTTATTGAATGCTCATATTGGATAAGTTCTCCTTCATTCCCGTGTGCTAGACAATTTGATATAATAATGCATTCGGGAATGAAAGGACGAGCTACGTACATCGATCATCGATAGTCAACCCGTGATTAATAATAATGATCTAGTTTAATATTTGAATTATGAACGTAGGCCGGAAATGTCGTACTCATCGGACGACGAAAACCGCCCGGGGGAGTGCGACTGGTGCCACGACGACCGAGGTATCTGCGACAGGTTCATTGTGCTGGACAAAGATCGTCGCTTCAGCATTAAGCTCGAGGAGACCTTCGATGTTCATACGGTACGCAACCGACGATAAAAGTTTTTTTCCGTAATTTCTCATGACTTCAACTATTTTAATCATGACAATATTTTTCATCTTTTCCAATTCGACTAGCTTATCCCATGCTTTGCAAGACGCTATGTCTTGGAGAGGATGGGTTTTGAAGACCATGAAAGTTTCGAAACCAAAAAAATTATCCTAAGTACCCATCATGGTGTGGATTTTCAAGTAAAGTTGTACAATGCTCAGAGTGTAACCCATTTTGGTTGCAAAAATTAGGAAGCACTTTGCAAGATGTATGGTTTTGATGAGGGTATGCTTGTTACCATGGATCTTGGTGATCCTACAATCGAGCAAGAGAGACCTACGATTTTTGTCCTTGTGGATACAGCTCCAATTCTTCCCCCATGTGAGCTTAACATAGTTATTAAGTAATTTATATTGTTTATTTCAAAATGATTGACAACTTATTCTCCATTGACAGCTTATTTTCATTCTTCAAAGAACGTGCAGAAGATGGTAGACAGAACCTACTACACCGAAGGCTCCGAACTAACTTATCATGAGAAAAATCATCTGGTCGCATTTTGTACTGATCTTGAGAATTACAATGTCTATGATTGAACTCCTCAACATTATGGTCAATACGTGCCACTAGTGCACGTGTTGAACTATGGTAACTACCATGGAGATACCCTGGTAAGATTTTTGTACTATTACAACATCCGTGCATCTTTTTGCACACTTCTAAAACTAGTACATCATATCATTGCTAACTACAAAATTATTACTATGTTTTTCAATAGATAATCCCGAATGATTGTGTGCCTCATATGATGTATACACACGGTAGCCTTCATGTTTTGAACATACAACTAGGTCGTCCTACGAATCTCAACTGTCCATACCGGGTTTCTAAAATAAGTGGAGACCTGAGAATCAAAGAATGGAAAAAATGTATGGACAGTCGTAAGGAGCTTCTGGAAGCAACATTCAGCGAAGGGCAAAAATTGGAGACAGGATGATCGCCATTCTTCATAATGGAGAGTCAGGGTCTATATCGTTTTATGCTATTTTACCTTAAGGATGCTTAGGTCCTACCTGATACTGATGATCATGTGTTAAGAACAGTTATGTAGGGTTGGGTTCGATGACTATGAGGATGATGATCGTATGACTTATTATTAATAACGAGTAGAAGTTGTATGATGATGCATGATTAGTAGGACGAGTACTTGTTATTATATATGCTGATGTATGCGAGCATGCATGAGTTATTATATCAGCGGGTAAAATGAACATATATAGCAGCAGCATTGGTAAACCAAGGACGAAGATATAAGAGAGGACACTTCTCTCTATTAGCTAGCTAATATAACAACCTAAAAATAACCCCCAAAACCCCTAAAGCAGTCAATTTCCAAAAAAACATGGACTTTTGGTCCCGGTTGGTGCCACCAACCGGTACCAAAGGCCCCCTGACTGGGGTCGGCGCACAGAGCCACGTGGAGGCACATTAGTCCCGGTTCTAGTTTGAACCGGGACTAATGGGTGGAGGTATTAGTAACGGCCCATTAGTCCCGGTTCATGAACCGGGACTAAAGGCCCTCACGAACCGGGACTATTAGGTGTTTTTCTACTAGTGGATGTACTCCTTTTGCTTCTCATCGAGGGTAAATGTGTCCATGAGGAACAAGTACTTCTCCCATTCCAACAACCTAGTTCGCTCCTCCATGGCCAATTTCTTCTCCTCCAATGCCACCTTCCTCTCCTCGGCTGCCAACCTCCTCTCCTTGGCCGCGGCATCTTGGTTCCTTGCCATCTTTCTCACCTCGTTCCTTTCTTGCCTTCACAATAGCTTCCATAGCATTTTTTAGCTCGTCATCTCCTTTCATCTTCTTCTTTTCTTTTCCGTCTTTCTTGCATCCATCCGGTCTTTTTGGCTTGGAGTATGAAACCGAGTTTGCTGTAGGGCTTCTCTTGTCGTCATCACTTGATGCCTCCTCCTCATCATCATCCAACTCAATAGTTCGCTTCCGTTTGTTGCTCTCCCCATCATCATTGATAGCATCGCGGGGCTTCCATTTCTCATCATCCTTCAATTCTTCATAGCAATGAGGCAAGGTAAATGGTCTCCCTTTCTTGATCTTCCCTTTCTTGGTCTTCTTCTCCTCTCCTTGGAACAAGTTTTATGCAATAGTGAGCCACAAACAAAAAAAATCAAGTTAGCACTAGGAACAACAATAAGAAGCATGATGAACATGGAAGAATCATGAAAGAAATGACACTTACCCTATCTCTATCATTAGCGCCATTTGGGTTCAACTTGTCAACCGCCTTAAGTGCGGCCGCTCACCTTTGACAATCTCGGTTGATTGTCGACCACCGAGAGCGAACAGATCTTTCGGAGTGGTCGATTCCACTTTTGTTGTGTACATCAAAGTGTTCCTTGATCCAGAGCCAATATGCATCTCTACATTGATCCCCTCCAACGGAGGGATCCCTCGCCACTTGCACCAAGTATTGCATAGCAAGATGTCTTCATCCATGGTGTAGTCTCCCCCTCTTCTTTTCGGTGCATCGATGATGCCCTCACCATCCTCGTCCACCTTAAACACATGATCATCGAAATGCATCTCATTGGTTTGAGACCAATGAGAATTGTTGGAGCCAAAACCCATAGTTGACATATATGCCTCATCATTGAAACTACAAAGTATATACAACGAAGCAAATAAGCTATCCATATGTATGCATTCAAAAAACAGAAACAAAAAAAAGTTTATGAAATTTTACCTTGTGGGCTACACCTTGTGCCGTCGGCCGCCGACTCAACAAGTGAGCTCACCGTCGCTTCGGTCGCCGCCGCGTCTGTCGCACGCCCAACAAGCTTCTTCCTCGACGGCCTAGAGGAGCCGTCCGCCGCCTTGTTCTTCTTCGTGGACACCTTGCCCTTCTTCACCCATGCCGCATTTGGGAGTTTCGAGAGGGGGGCACGTGGCATCACGACGGGCGCCGGCACCGGTGCGACGCCACCCGCCGGCGAGGTCGTCCATGGCGGCATGAAAAGGCAGCGCGCGATGCCGGTGCTTGGAGGAGCACAGACGGTGGCGAAGCCAAAGCTCCCCGCGCTAGGGTTTGCGGTGGCGGCGGCGGAGGGGTCGCGGCTGTAGGAAGGGGTGAGGGGAGGTGCCGACACGTCCGCCCATCGGGCCAATTCACCGGCGGCGGCGCGGGCAGGGCGAAAGCGGCGGGGCGGAGAGGGTGCGACGCGAGCGCTCGAATGTTCGACGTGCAGAAGCGGGCACAACAAATAAACAGCGCGCGATGACGTTTTAGACCGCGCGCTGAACTCTTTATACCGCGCACGTGGTTATTGCGCCTTCGCTGGAGCTCCCGGAGCAGTTGCGCGCGCGCTAAAAAGGAAAAATATCCAGCGCGGTGTTTATATAGCATGACTGTTGGAGATGCTCTTACCAGCCTTTGCGAGCAAGGTCACCGGGCTGGGCCGGCGATGGGAAACATCACAAATTTGCCACTGAATTTTTCAGAGAGATGCGAAACAAATTTGGTCGGAAGCCCAGCCCACGTAGAACTAGGTAAAAAGAACTCGTATACGTATACGTATATATCGAATTTACCCCTAAATTTAAAAAATCGTATATATGGAAAGGCAAAGTCGGTTATAAACCTTGGCAGATCCGCAAATCGCATGGATCCTCCGCAGATCAAACGCCGACGCCGCACGAGCACGATGGATCCTCCGCAGATCGCCGGACGGGGAAGTGACGACCGCTTAAGCAAGCTCCGCGACGGCGTGCTCGGCCACATCCTCTCCTTCCTCGACGCCAAGGAGGCCGGGCGCGCCGCTGCGCTCTCGTCGCGGTGGCGCCACGTCTTCGCCAGCGTCCACACCGTCTCGCTGGAGCAGCCGGAAGAGCCCGTACCCGATTACGACTACGACGGCGGATACCGGCTCCGTCGCTACGATCCGAACCAGCCAACGCCCTTCACCGTTGTCGTCAACAAGGCACTATTCGCCCGCTTCCGTCGGCCGGCCATTGCCGCCCCATCAGTGCCCCTGCGCGCGCTCCGCGTCACCATGGATGATTACGGCCGCGGGGACGCCTCCACGGTGAACGAGTGGGTCGCTTGCGCCTTCAGTTTAGCCGCCCCCGAGCTCGAGATCCAGCTTGACCTAGGCCAAGTCCCGGTCTGCAAGCGACCCGACCCCTTCCGTGCCGCCGCCGCCACCGCCAATAGCGAATGTGATGATCACTCTGCCGGGAAGCAGTCTCCCGTGCCCAAGGACGTCGACATCGATGACAAAGATGTCGCCTCCGGCGATGATGAGAGGGATCCTGCAGGGGAGCAGCCTCCCGTGCCCAAGGGCGTCGACACCGATGACGAAGAAGATGTCGCCTCCAGCGATGACGAGAAGGATTCTAGATCGCCGAACTCGCCGTCCCCACGCGACTCGCAGTACACCGTCGTGAGGCAGCTCTTCTCCTTCGCGGCATTGCGGTCACTCCGTCTTGGTAACTGCAGGCTCTGCCCGCCAGTGACCATCAGCCTGCCGGCTCTCGAAGCGCTCAGCCTCACTCACGTCCCTGACGCAGAGGAGCACGTGCAGAAGCTCATCTCCGCCTGCACAAGCCTCAAGGACCTGACTCTCGAGGCCTGCGGCACCGTCACCACGCTCTCCCTCCTCGACAACACAAGTCTCCATAGGCTCGTCCTCCGATGCTGCCACAAGCTTGCCAATGTCACCATCAACGCTATGGAGCTCCACACGTTTGAGTACCGCGGTGCAGTTCCCGGCAACTCGTTCCTCACCGTGCCAGGCGGCGGCTTCCCATCCATCACGTCATGCAAGATCGCCATCTGCACGGTCTGCCTCCTCGAGGAGGCCACGTCGGAGGAGCAGCTCGCCATGCTCGGTTCGTTCCTACAGCCGTTCACGTCCACAAAACACCTTCACCTATGCGCCGCCCGCATGGGCTCCTGCTTCGTGGCGCTCGACTTGTTCCAGGCCCTCCGGCACCTCCAGCTAAATGGGCGTGTGACAAACAGCGATGTAGCCGCCGCCGCTGCGACCAGCACAATCCTCCAGCGGGCCACGAACCTGGAGACGCTGACCCTGTTCTTCGAGACCGGGCCTCACGAACTCGAGACTCGCGTCAGCGGCCTGCGCTACTGCAGCAACCGCAGAAAAGGTGAGCTCCTGGACGCGCATCACCTCCACTACAGCAAGTACGACACCCTCGACTTGGCGGGCGTGCCGATCCCACGGTGCCTGGGGAGCAGCGTGAGAAGGATCAACCTGCTGCATTACCAAGGCGGCAGAGCGCAGAGGGCGCTCGCCAGGTACTTGCTCCGCAACGCTCTGGTGCTCGACAAGCTCTACTGCGAGTTGGAGGAGGGGCCACTGTGGATCCAGGAGGAATTGGTGCGGGAGATGGAAGGCTGGGTGGTGAACGAGAGTGCCAGCACGGTGTTCCACTGATACTTGCACTCCTACATCAGTTGGAACATGAACACTTGTGCCTACACTTGTCTTAAGCACAATTATGAGTCGTACTGAGCATGGGCATAATTCATGCTGCACATGTGGAAACAAGTCTTACCCACCCTTTCTATATACTCCCTCCATCCCGAAATTTAAGCACCTCTAGTCTTTCCATAAGTAAAACTATCTTGAGGTTGAACGTGTTTCGTAGAGAAGAGTATTATCAACATATATCACAACAAAGAAGTGTAATATGCTTTATAATGGAATCTAGTGATGCTAGTTTAGTATCACAAACATTGTTATTTTTTCTGTAAGTTCGGTCAAACTTGAGAGGTTTGACTTGGGGCAACGCTAAAAATACTTATATTTTGGGACAAGGGGGTATACAAGATGAAAGTCATAAATGGTGACACAGTTACTTATAGATGATTAAATGATATGAAAAGGCAATGCTCTACGTTTAGTCTTCAATGATGGCTTCCATCTGCTGCTTAACGTAGCTAACAACTCGACGTTTGTTTCCACATAACACAAAGCACATAGATGACATGGGGCATGGTACTCTAAGAGCTAAGAGTAATCAATCATAAATCCTAGATGGATGTTGTACTAGTGGCACACGACAAATTCGGAGCACCACAATCTATGTCATATAGCAACCAAACTTAGGAATGACCCAGTTGCTGGCGAGGAACGCAAGGCTACTCCACATAGGTAATAATAAGTGCCTTGGGCCTGAAAGCATTAGAGATAACATGTTTCAGTAAGTTGGCAAATAAATAAATTTATAAATTAGAAAAAAAACTGCATGTAAGTTCAGGATTTGTGGGAGAGTAAGCTTAAAGCAATGCATACACACCAAGGGAACCAGTTCCAATCGAAATAATTATGTTCTTTCCTTTCATAAATAAATAAATAAATAATTGAAACACATGACGCATCAAGTACACAGCAGCCACTGTATATGAGAGTAACCAATGGAAATAATCCATCAAACTAACCCTGAACTTTCATAGTATCTCCACTGAACTGTTACCTAATTGCCCTCTACGCGTCACATACACAAGATATACACTGAATTGTTATCTAATTGGACTCCACATGAAAAAAGTATTGTCCCCATCACCTATACAAAAAGAGAGGGGGGCCTCTTTCCACATATATGAGACAAAAATCATACATGTGCATCCAGCGACCGTGCCATGGTTATTTACAAATGATCAAATAAGGCCAAAAAGGATTATTGATAATAGTTAAGTGATGGCTTATTCCATCTGTTATTCAACATAGCTAACAACCTAACGTTATCTTCACAGAACACGATGCACATATACAAGTTAACTAGCAGATCCAAAATTATAAGTGGACAAAAGTTACGGTAATACTGTCTGAAATTATCTTCACATAACACAAAGCACATAGATAAATCAACTAACAGACCCGAAATTCTCAATGGACAGAAGTTATATAATGCTGTCTGAAGTGAATGCACAAAAGAACATGATGTTATCTATTGGATGTGACATAGATGGATCAGATTTCAGGTAACATGACTACTTCATATGGCGAAAACCATTAAAAAGGGATCAATCGTGAGGGCGTTAATTTACAGGTATCTCAAATTCTCAATGCAACCAGATAGTCGACATCTTAGTAGCTAAACAATATAAGCACTAATCAACCATTTACTTTCTTCAAGTACAAAAGAAGCTATATTCAACCACTGCGCCAATTGCTTTGATCAGTTGCGATGTCAAAGCTACTTATAACACCACCTATGAAGAAAAGATTTTGCCCAATTAGACAGACACACCAAATTAATTAGGCAACTATAGATAAAAAAATGTTTCAGATTGGCCAAAGACAAAAAGAAAATGAGGATATTTAGAGACTAAAGAGGCATACATTATGAATAACAGGTGCAAAAATCTTTTCTAAAGGAACAGGGAAAACTTTCCTATGAACATGCAATTTGTTCAATTTTGCTACGTATGTACTGTACACAGGGTACCAAATAGACAGAACAGGAAACTAGATCATCCAGCATCAGCAGTGTACCTAGTCCTCGCAGAAAATATGGTTTTCCCCCAAGGCTTTGCATTGGAAAAAATGAATGGCTGATGAGGCTTTCTTTGAACAAATGATTGCTAAAAATCCGTGAACGACAGGGTTCCTGCTGGAATTCCTCCAGCCATTTCCCCTTGTTGTTAGAGTAGTGAAACATGCGCTCAAAGGTGGAACATAATAATTCTGTGTTTGCCTTTCCGGACACAACCGTATATCTTGAAATCCCCCATTTTACCTTTGGGAGAAAAATCTGACGCACGAATGACCAAACCTCTCTCCCATAGTCTGTCAGCGCCCAGGTTTTCAGCAATTCCCTTCCTCCAGTGATGGCAAGCATACCTTGCATCTCATGCAAATGAGAAGTGCGACAGCGATGGACACCAATCGGAGAGCGCATCCACCTGAATGATTCGACCACTGTGTCAAAAACAACTAGCCTGTTGTGGTCATAGATCCAGTGAAGGCAGTGGTGCAGCAGAACGGGGATGCGTGAATCTGAACGGACAAAATCCATCCCTTCTGGCATCGGCTGAATGATGACCCCCGCGTCGTCTCCCGCAGGCGACTCGGGGGCGATTAGGTTTTCCCCCGAGCGCCGCCACCCTCGTCTGCCTCCCCTCGCCGCCGTCGCCAGCGGCCTCCGGCCGGCCCGCGGCGGCGGCGGGACCCCTTCCACCTCCTCCTCCGTCCATCCCCGCGTTGGCCCCCCTCCCTGCTCGCCCACCTCGTCCTCGGCGGCGCGAGGCTGTGTGGAGATCGCCGCATCCTGGTGGTTTCCCCGCGGGCTGGGGCCGTGCCTCTTGCTGCCGGCCGGCCTGGGGAGCAGGCCTGGCCGTTGCTGGCTGCCCCGCCCGATGGGCTGCTTCCTCTTTGGAGCGGCCAGATCTGGATCATGGTGTTGGGGTGCTTGGAGGGGGTCGGTCTGGGATGGGGCCTCGGAGTGGTGCTCGTTGCGGTGGCTGGAGCGGCCGGCTTCGCGCGAGCTGCTCGTCTCTTTGGAGATGGGTGAGCGTGGCTCTTTGGATCTGGGGCGGCGGCCCTTCCGGCGAGATTTCATTGGCTTGACCAGTGCTCGTTGGTGCTGGCCGTTCTTCCTCGGCCACGGGGGCGGCAAGGCGGCGGCAGGTGGCGGCTGTGGTGCAGGCGTCTCGGCGGCGCCCGATCCAGATCTGAAGGCCTCCGTCTACTTCAACCAGGGCTGCCTCCGATGGTCCTGCTTTGAGCGGCCTTTGTCGTCGGAGTTGTACCTGTTTGGCGGCTGGAGGTGGGAGTTGGCTCCGGAGAAATCCGAGGCCAGCAGTGCTGGTCACGGCGGCGGCGACGCCCGAGGGCACCGTACCCTTCTTGTAGGCGCCGTCCAGGTTGCCTCCTTCCCCTCTTCCTTGCACCCAGCTCGTATGCCGGGCGAAAGCCCAAATCCTTGCCGGATCGAGCGACAGCGGCGCTCCGGGCGTCGTCACCTTCTTGGGGGTGTCGTTCGTGGTGAGTTTGGGGTGGATGTGATGCTTTGGTTGCTTGGCGGCGGATTGGTCTTCAACAGCCCTGCCGGTCTCGGCGGAACGGTGCTTCATCCTACTCATTGATGGCGGCGTATCTCGGCGGCGTGGCGCAGTGGAGATTCGGCGTCCGATGTGTGGCGATGGACTCGCGCAGGAGGACGAAGCTGTCTGGTGTCGTGGTGACGTCGATGGCTGAGTGGCCAGACAAGGTAGAAGCCTCAATTTGATCTGAAGACGGACCTGTGGAAGATGGCGGCGACGACACACGAGTGCGTCTGACCGGATTGTGCCCCAGACCCGGTATGTGGCTCGGCTGGGGCTTCCGAATGTGTTTCGGCTTCCGGCTTTTGATGTTAGGCTTAGGTGAGTGGTCTGGGTAGTGGCCCAACTAGCACCCCTTCATCATTTTAGATAGGAGTAGCGGCATATGTTGCCAAGATGGTGGATTCAGACACATTGTTGTAATACTTTGTAAGGTCCTTGAGAATAATCAATAAAGTGGCCGTATGCATCTCCCAGATGCAGAGGCCGGGGGTCATCCTCCTTTTCTAAAAAAAATCGGCTGAATGATGCATCTCGGCTACTGGGAGCCCACTGTGAGGATGTACTAGAAGACAACTTTGTCGCCCACGAATCTCTGCTTCCAGTACAGGACGCGGTACTCGCCGGATGATTCATGCTGGTACAGCCCTGCAATGTGGGCGTCCTTGAGAGCCGGCAGTGAAACCCACTGACGCGTGGCTGGGTTGCAGATGTGGAAGTCAGGGCGGACGGCACGAGTGGTCTTTAGGACCGGCTCGTGGCCCGCTCGGTCCGTCCAGGCTCAGTCCTGGCCCGGCATAAAATCCAGCCGGACCGGGCCCTGCAAACGGGACCGAAATACCTCGGTCCGGTCCGGTTAAAGCTCGGTCCGACCGAGCGGACCGACGAACACGAGCTGCGGCATGACGGGGGCATGTCTGGACAAGGCGGGGGCGTGCCAAGGGCGTGGCAGGGGCGTGGCGGGGGCGTGCCAAGGGCGTGGCAGGGGCGTGTCGAGGCCAGAGCTGCGTGGCGGGCGCGTGGTGGGCGCGTCGGTCGTGCACTAGTCTCCGCCACCGTTGTTCATCCGCGCGGCCACCGGCATCCCTGACGCTCGAAAGCATGTCTACTAGATGCGCCATGGTCGGATCTATCACCTGGAAGGTAGAACTTGAAGCGGGAGGCCCTACACCGCCGCTGTACACCGGCCATCGTGCCAGATTCTTCGTCGCTGTTGCTCTGCCTCCAGCGCCCTCCCCGCGTCGCCGTGCTCCGGCACGAGCTCTGGGGTGACCACCGGCCGGTCCAAACGAGCCGCTCGGTCCGGCTCGGGCTTCCGTCACTTCGGTCCGGTCACTGAAAACAGGACCACGACGCTGCTCGGTCCGGTCCGGTCCGGACCGCCGACAGCCGGTCCAAACGACGGCTCGGTCAGGAACCGGACCGGCCCGGACCGTGTCCACCCTGATGTGGAAGCAATCACGCATTTGGAGTAGGAGAAGGCCGTCGCAGGAGGCTTGTAGCACCACGCGGTGACCACCGTCCACCGCGGTGGTTGCGAAACCCGAGTAGGGGCCAGCGGCGCTTTGCCTGGGCTTGCCGGAGGTCGAAGGCGTCAACCACGATGTTGAAGAAGCCACCCTTGTTTATGTTCTTGCCGTCGAAGCAGATGAGGGGGAGCGACGGCTGCCGCCGGTGGTGGGCGAGGAGGAAATCGGCGGTGGAGATGAGGCGGCGCCAGGAGGGGCAGACTCTGCGGCACGGAGGAGCTCCTTGGCCGGCAGGTGCACGAGGATCTCCCACACGACGATCTCCTCCGGCAAGACGGGGATGCGGTGGCTCCGCGCCTGTGCGGTTCCAGCCATGGTCCCTCGCTGACTTCAGCAAGGACGCCTTATTTTGTTTCGTCCATGTTTTTTTTGGAATAAATTCCTCTCTTCCAAAAGAGCCTTGATCTCCGCTGCCAAATGACCATAGGAAGACCTTGAGTGGTTGCCAGACAGTGCCTCAGAGGAATCCGATTGGACGATGCTCGATAAATCCATGTGCTGGACAGCTAAATCCACGCCCTGCATGAGTGCGTGAAATCTCTACTTCCAGGACGTCGTTGCAGTCGAAAAGTACTCGATGGGCTGAAAACACCATTGTTTGATCAACACTTCTCAAGATCATACTTGCGCCTGCATAACCATCATAAGCTGAGAACGACCCATCAACCGACAGAGAAACCGGACTCACCGGTGGAGCAGGCCAGGACGCGGATACAAGAATGGGATTCACCTTCAGGTTGACATGATTCTCCTCCATCATCACATTCCCTTTAATAATCTCGTCGGTGGAGTATCTCCTACTCCCTCCGTTCCAAAATAGATGACCCAACATTATACTAAACTTAGTACAAAGTTGAGTCATCTATTTTGGAACGGAGGGAGTAGATTGCAAAGGGGGTTTCCTTTAGCTATCCAAGAACTCGACAGAAGTTTCAGTGGGGCCTACTTGCTTATCATGAGGCAAATCATGACGCAATGGCTAGATGTGCCATAGGAGCATGATTAGCATTCCTTGGACAACCTCCGTACACCCCGCTAACACATATAACAACCATTCCCTTCTAATATCAACGAGTTTCTCCTTGCCAGCAAGAAGCCAAATCTTTCTTATATGGTCCCGTTTGATAGTAACTTGATTGCATGTGATCAAGTCATGGAAACTTCTCTCCTCCTCGACTCTCAGATCGGTCATGTAGCTCGTTTGGACAAGTGACGATAAACTTTGCTTTGATTCGTTGCTAGGGCCCCAGACGCTGCTTTCCACACCATCACTATCATGTTCAATGGGACATCATACCGCCATATACAACTCCACAAGGATCGCTCCTCATTCAGGTGGTCGATGGACGCACCACTAGACATGCTGCTATTCTCGGGGAACCAGGCAACAAAGTCCTGGCGGTTCCTAGTGGACGTTTGGATTTTTACTATCTCATGGATATCCACAGGCCAAAAGTGCTCCTCCAACATCTGTATTTTCCGAGCACCATGATCGTCTAGAAAGTCAGCTACCCGATTGAATTGGCCGTTCCTTTTTGCTGTGATGAGCCCGAAGTCATGGCCAAGAGGGATCCCTGGATCTCGTCAAGTTCAGCTTTTCCACTTCACTACCAAAATATTGAGTTGTTTTTGTTTTGTGGCATAGCCTAAATGGTTGAGGCATGAGGGGTGTGTGCGCGTGCTACAAAACTTAACTTGTGTTTGTTGCCGGCCTGCTTTCATTTTCAATGGGAATGGAGGCGAGGGTGTGACCCCTGTTTATCGGGAAAAAAGGAGTTCTTACGGATCAAACAATAGAAGGGAGAAAAAAACCGAGTTCGAAGCACAAATGGGTAACCCATTGCTAGATGCCTGCACTCAAAACATCTACTAGTAACACCTACTACAGGGCAGGAAGTCTGTGTAAGTTTCAAATCCACTCACATTGCAAACGAACATCCATGGATTTTTCGTGTGCAAAATATTGTGTTGTACTCTTATGTTCGCAATTGGATTCCATCCTTTTATGCATGCAATCAACCTTTTTTAGAACTTTGACCACCAATATAGATAAGTATAATTAGATTTGTCGCCTGAAAATGATAGCATACTGTTTACTAGTTTGTTCTTCAAAAGTATTTGCACGAAATTACAGTCTCCCTTACAAAATCTTTGGACTCGACTAAGACATTGGATTTTTTACCACGGCAAATTGAATGTTTTTTATGACAATTTGTGTTGGCAAGCATGGCAAATTCAGCTCAGTTCATTTCTTTTGCTAGAAAAATGACTGTGCTCGTCAACTAAATTTGTCATCCTCACGCTAACTAAATTTGCCATAAAAAATCATTCGATTTGCCATGGCTACAAATCTGACATCGGATTTTGCACTAGCGAAATCTTTTGGCTGGAGGTTTGAGGATGGATTATCACAACCTCTTTTATCTTGTCTATAAAAAGGAGAAACTATACGGGACTGTAATTAACATCACAAGATCATACTACTTAATCAGAATAAAATTCAGTCGGACATTTTTGGAGTTCGACTTCTACATGGCATTGAGTTTCAGAGATGCGTTCCTGCAAAAACAGAATAAAATCAGAGATTGACTTGGAAAAGAATTAGATCGCAAAAAAAAAAAGACTTGGAAAAGAATTCTTCTTTTGAAAGGAAAAAAGAACTGATTATTAGTACTGCGTGTTTGGAAAGATAACGTCGGTTATTATATTCCCTGCACATAACGCGGGGATCGCCGCCGCGCGATGGGTCACTCGCCGATCGCCGCCGGCGCCGGACGCGACCGCCTGAGCGACCTCAGCGACGACGTGATCGGCCACATCCTCTCCTTCCTCGACGCCAAGGAGGCCGCGCGCGCCGCGGCGCTCTCGTCGCGGTGGCGCGACGTCTACGCCAGCGTCCACACCGTCTCCCTGGAGCTGCCGGAACGGCCACTCCACGACGACCTCACCGATCTCACGTACATCCTCAGAATTTTGCGGCCCTTCGTCGCCGGCGTCACCGCCGCCATCTTCGCCCGCGACCGCCGAGCGGCCCCCGCCGCGGCGGCGGTGCCCCTGCGCGCGCTCCGCGTCTGTATGGAAGGCAGCGTAGACTACTCCACGGTGGGCTTGTGGGTCACCCACGCGCTGAGGCATGCCGCCCCCGGCCTCGAGCTTGACCTCCGCCTCGGCCGCGACCCCGTCTGCTGGGGCATCGACCACAAACCCGTCCACCGCTCCCGACCTGCCGTTTACCCACATCAGAAATATAACTTTGACCCCGTCGATCCTTCCCTCCCCGCGGATGCCAACGAGGACGACGATGCCGCCTCTAGCGATGACGAGATGCCTTCTGGATTTGCTAATCGGCTGTACATCCGGGAACTCCCGAGGCCGCTATTCTCCTGCGCGGCGCTGCGAACGCTCCGCCTCGGGTCCTGCTGCCTCTCCACGCCGGAGGCCGTGAGCCTTCCGTCGCTGGAGGTGCTCCGCCTCACCAACGTGCGCGAGGAGGAGGAGCACGTGCAGAGGCTCATCTCCGCCTGCCCGCTGCTCGCGGACCTGATGGTCGAGGCCTGCGGCACGGTGACCGCGCTCCGCCTTGTCGACAACACGCATCTCCGCAGGCTCGCCATCCGGTTGTGCGACAACCTGGCCACTGTAGACATGGACGCATCACAGCTCCTATGCTTCGAGTATCTCGGCGCCATCCCTGATAACTCGTTCCTCGCCGTAGGCAGTGGCGTCGCCTTTCCAGCCATCACGCCGTGCAAGATCGACACCTACGCTGCCCGTCCTGAGGAGGCGGAGGACCTCGTCAAGATCACTTCGTTCCTGCAGTTGTTCGTCGCCACAAAACATCTCCACTTGTGCTCCACACCGATGGGCTCCTGTTTCGTGAACCTCCCCGAGTTCCCGAGCCTCAGCCACCTCGAGCTGAATGGATGCATACTGCAAGGCGACGATCCCGCCTTTGCCATTGCCGTGACGAGCACGATCCTCAATCAGGCCCCTAACCTGGAGCTACTGACCCTGGTATTCCAAGCAGCTGCGCCTCAAGATCAAGAGTCGCAGCAGCGCAACGGCCCCTACCGTGGCCGCATCGAGGGGGAGCTCGTCGACACGCACCTTCTCCACTACGACAAGTACGACACCATTGACTATGCGCTGATGGTTAACACGCCGGTCCCGCCCTGCCTCGTGAACCGAGTGAGCAAGATTGAGTTGGTGCATTACCAAGGCGGCAAAGCGCAGAGGACGCTGGCCAAGTTCTTGCTCGGCAACGCTCCTGCGCTCAAGATGCTCTATTGTGGATTTGCGGAGGGGCCGGAGTGGCTTCAGATGCAATTGATGCGTGAGATTGAAGGCTGGGTGATCAATGAGACAGCTAGCAAGGAGTTCCGTTGATGGATGCTTGCTTGGTATATATGTTTGCAACTGCAATACAAATTCCAGTGATACTAGTATAGTGTCAAAACATTGCCTTCTTGTTTCTTAATAACTGTACCGAGTATCAGTGCGAAAGCTCCTCATACAATATGTGACAGATAATCTTTAAGTTCTTGCATCCATATTTCAAAGACCTGCAGGATTATTTTCTTTGGTTTGTAATTTGTGCAAACATAAGTAAAAGGTAGTAGTGGTAAACAGGTAATAAAAAGGACGCCGATAACGCCCACACGTGTGGGCCTTAAAGGGTCTGTTCATACAGTTTGTGTGGTGTTTAAGAGGATCAGCCCACACACCTACGTATGGGCCAAACAAGTAATGCCCACACGTCTCTTTTTCTTTTTTTGCGGTCCCTCTCACATGCCTGCGTGTGTAGGGCCGGCCCTAGAGTATGGCCAAGGGGGCGGCGGCCTAGGGCCCAGCCCTGCAGGGGGGCCATGATCTAGTATCTATCTATGTGTATAGCCCAGTAAAATAGAGAAAAAAAAAGAAGAAAGTATAGTTTTTCCCCTCAAATCCATCTAGGTGGATCAAATTCCCCCCAATGTCTAAAACCGGTTAAATCACCCCCCAATCTCTGCAATACCAGATCAATAAGCCCCTCGAGTGTTTTTGGGAAGGATTGCAACCGGTTTTGACTATAGGTTGTTGACTTATCATTTAACTTGTGCCCCACGACGCAATGTTCTTGACGGGCGAGCTTCGCGCCGGGCAACCGGGCAAGTACTGGCTCTGACCATTCATCCAGGCTGAGGTTGTTGGCTTTGGCGCCACAGAGATTGTAGTCGAGCGCGCGGTCGCCAGGGCTCAGGAGGTGCCCAAGGTGCGTCCTTACGATGATGATGGTGTCGCTCCTGCCCAGCTTCGACGGGCGCCTCGAGCTGCCTCGCCGCATCCGCCATGTGCACCGGCGGGAGGGAGGCGATGAGGGCCACGAGGCCGGAGGGCGCGGGGCCGCGATGCAAAAAAGAAGTCGAGATCGCCGGCGACGTCGACACGGGTCGCTGAGCCTGCCGCGCCGAGGCCAGCGAGCCATTGGTCGAGTGTGCTCAGACCTTGAGTGTGCTACGCGTGCATGGTTGGCATTCGTGCTTGTGTTGTGCTGTGGTGTGCTTGGCAAACATGGCGACGGGGTGGCTGGATGTTCATGTGACGCAAGGGGTTCAGCCCAAAAATGCAAACATGGCATCGGAGCTTGGCCCTTTTGGCGATGGCGGGCCAAGGGAGCTCGCCGGGCACAAGCGCGGGCGGCTGGGCATCTACAGATTGCAGACACACACACGCGCGTATGTGTGCGCTATAGTGCGGCAGCACGGCTACAGCTGGGGACGTGCTCGCGGTGCGGGACGCGGCTGCAGGATGGTCTCAGGCCGTGGCCGGCCAAGCTCTGGGCTATGGCCTCGGCCATGGGTGGCGTAGGTCAGCGAGGCGAGCGGGTCGAGCACGAGGAGAGCTGCCTCTGCGTGGTACACCAGGGCGCTGGCCGAGCCCAGCCATGGCAGCCACGTACTACTACTAGACGGGGCGGCGGCTGTTACTCTCTGTTCGCCGCGGGGCAGTATGGGCAGCACGGCGGCGTCTTGCTCCTTCATTGCCATGTCAGCATCATATCCCCAGTCAACAACATTTAGTCAAAACCACCTACAATCCTTTGCAAAACCACTCAAGGGGCTAATTGCTCCGGTATTGCAGAGTTGAGGGGGTGATTTAACCAGTTTTAGACTTTGGGGGGAATTTGATCCAACTAAAGAGATTTGAGGGGGAAAACTATACTTTCTTCAAAAAAAAAAAGAAGGAACGGACAATGTGATGGGCTGACCCAATTGATTGGTAGCGTTAAGAATCAAGTGTTGCTCTCTTACGACGGCCGCATCTCGCACTCATCGTTTCACGGAGATCGATTTAAAATCCATCACGATCTCTTCTTTGTCTCTCAACCGCCGCTCCCTATTCTTGCCGCCGCTCAAGGACCTGCAGGTTGCCGCTGGTGCAGCAGGTTGTTGCTGCTCTCGCCGTCTTGCGTCGTGCCGCCGTTGGCCCCCCTTGCTCTTGCTACCCGGGCGTCTGCGAGGCTGTGATGGTGCTACGGCGCGAGTTCATCTATCATCGTCCTTCCAGTCTTTCAAAAGTACGTACATGATTCATCCAATACTCAATTTTAGTATAGGGTTGTTAAGGTGTTCAACCCAAATTTCTATTTCTATTTACTATTTTTTTCCTCATAATTTTAGGTCATTAGTCTTAGAATGTTGCCTCTGGAGCATTTGTCGGGTGCTGCAAAACGGAGAAAAAGAAAGGAAAAATCTCTTAATTGAAAGGCAAAAGGGTTCATTAGAAAAGTTTTTCATCTTCAAGAAATGTTGATGTCAATGAAGAAGGGGGGCACGAAACTAATCCCGATCAGGAGTCACTAGAATTTGGTTCTCATTTGAGGCAATCATGGCAATTTCATTTTCCTATTTTTTTAGTTTTTCTATCGTAATATGACATTCGTAACAATTATTATTAGACATTTCAAACTGAGGATGTATGGATGAAAATTTACGATTAATATTTTGCCAATAAAGTTAGACATATACATATTTATATAGTGTGCAAACACAAACATATACATATAGTATTAGAGGCCACGTTGTCGAGTTCGCCCAAGGGCCCTTCGAAACATAGGGCCGGCCCTGTGCGTGTGGGCAAAATAAATAACGCCCACATGCCCGTACGCCAGACCTCCTACCTTATGGTCCCGCACGCCCCACGTGACAGTCACCAACGTCCCCGCAATTGTCATGGCCCGGACCCTCTTCCATGTTCATTTAACTGCAGTTATCATGTCGCTGTACTGCAGTTGCCATGTCGAACAACTACAGTTGCCATGGTTGCTCAACTGCAGTTGTCATATATGTTCTGGTCTATTGCAGTTGCCATGATTTCAAAACTTTAGGAGTTGCCACCTACTAACATTAGGCAGTTGAGAGAGTTGCCATGTGCTCACAAGCACGCAAGGGCAGTTGCCATGTAAAAGGAAGAATTGACATCTGCTTACGTGCACACTAGGTCAGTTGCCATGTAGCATGCAAAAACACATGGCAACTCGGGTAAAAGAGAGTTGCCAGTTGCTTATGTGCACACTAGGCAGTTATCGTGTACCCTGCAAAACACATGTCAATTGACATGTTCAGATAAAAAAAAAGAGTTGCCATCTGCTTACAAGCACAATAGGGCAGTCGCCATGTACACTGCAAAACACATGGCAACTAGCAGTTTGAATGTGGGAGAGGAGACGGGCGTGTGGGCGAGATGGCAAATGCCCACACACCAGCCCTTGTGTGAGTGAAAACTGGCGTGTGGACGAACTGCTAAACGCCCACACACCAGCCCCTCAGTGTGGTGAAACAGACGTGTGGGCGACCGGATGAATGCCCACACACCATCCCAGTCCTACGTGACACCACAAACATGCCAAGATTCGTGCGCCCACAAACGGACGCGGATCCACGCGTGTGGGCAAGATGCAAACGCCCACACGTGTGGGCGTTAGTGTTTCCGAAGAAAAATAGTGATTGTAATTCTAGTACCTCCTGCAATTCCAAATTAATTGACGCAACTTTAGTACAAAATTGTACTAAAGCTACGTCAATTAATTTGGATAGGAGGGAGTACTTCAAGTTTAGAGTTATCTGCACATCCATATTCTTTCAGAGAAAGGCAGAAGTGTAGAAAGTTTCTGCTCAATAATATAGGAAAAAGTACATAATTTGTTACTTGTGAAGTTTTTGGTATTGCCATGACAGACGATGAATAGATTAAAAAATTTTGTCATAAAAAGTGCAATTAAACTATGAACCTGTGTTGATGGTTATGGCTTCGGGACCAGATAGAGTACAGTTGACCAAAAACAAAACTTAGGTTAGTCGACTGGTCCCAAATTCGTTTCAGTCGATCTGCTTCCTGCTGATAATGCCGTGCTAGTACTTAGAGCCTGCCGTGAAAACAACCAACATGCGAGCTTGGCCCATCTAAACTAGTGTTTTGGCGAGGGCGCTACCCATCTCTCATCCAAATATCCATTTTGTACTGGAACAAACGAAAAACTACTCGGATCACATAAAACTCATATTCCACAGCACTACACGTGAACATGTGTAGACTGTAGCTTGCTGAAAAGGTACGAATGTACGCTTCTGAAAAGGGTGAAAATGTCATGAATGAACGCAGAGGATAAAGAAAACTTACAATAAGCGCAAACCAATAATAGTAGTATTTTGGTACGTACGTCAACTATCAAACCGACATATCAAAAAATCATAGAAGAACTCTGCTAGTCCCTTTTTGAGCCCCAACTACCAAACCAAGATTTGTATACGAGCTAGGCCCACCAGATGTTGTGATGTTTATTAGAGTATAACCAACACTACTAGGGAAAAGGTTAGCAGTAGCGCTGGTTTTTGGGCTAGCAGTAGCGCGGGGGACCGCGTAGCTGCTACAACGCCACAGCTAAAGGCTAGCAGTAGCATTGTTTCACCCGTGCTACTACTAGCCCTACTTAGCAGTAACACTCTTTTAGGCACGCGCTACTGGTAGTTACTAGCAGCGCTGCTCTACCCGCGCTACTACTATTATTACATATTCTATTTCTTTTTTATTTTATGTCTTATTCTTACACCATTATACAAGTTTTCATACAGTGGCAATTTAGAGATCGTTATCACATCATAATGAATTATTATGTCATTGGGTGAGCCAAAGTGGGATCCATCCAGTGGCGGAGCTACCTCCCGGCGACCCTGGGCAGCTGCCCGGGCTGCTCTGGCCATTCTCCACTAAGTACTACACATAAACCATGATTAGTATCACTAATTACAGGGGCAAGTGCTGGACAATGTTGCAGGAAATATGCCTAGGGGCAATAATAAAGTTATTATTTATTTTCTTATTTCATGAAATGTTTATTATTCATGCTA